CAGAATAGTCTGTGATACTGCAATTGTGACACTGCTTTTCAATTTTCTATTTGCAATTAATGTTTAGATGTCCATCCATGCTCCATGGAGGACTATATGTTTCACGTTGTTTGTAAAGAATTCTAATCACATCTGAACTGGAACATCAATATATCTGTGTTTCTGATCATATTTTTTAATCAGGCTCTTATGTGTTGCATTACACTTAATCTGAACCTCTGATTTCTTACAAAGGCTTCACCTTCTGTCAGCGTGTGACAGCTAAAGAATATGAAGATCAAAAACAACAAACAAATCAGTATCTTCTCACACTGGTTCAAGAGATGGACAATGACCCCACTATTCCTTTGAAGCAGAAGAAGAAATTAATTAAAGAATTAAGAAAATACCATTCTCTCATCTATTGTAGTGGTTGTAAAGCACCATGTGAATTTTGTACTCTAAATGGTTAGACATCAATGCAGCTGGCTTGTTTGTGGGTTTTGTTTTTTTTTTTTTAAGAAGGGGGGATGCTCATGATACAAAACATATTCTTCTTATGTCCTTAAATCTTCAGGTACAGGAAACTACAACTATCAAAATGACTATGCTGCTAAAAAGCATTAATTCTGATCAATGACTCTTTTAAGCAAAATGTACTTAATGACTTTTAAGTTAGTAATAACGGCACACTGCTTGTGCTGCTTTGAGTTCAGGGTTTGGCACACTTTTCCTTCTGTCCCACAACCCTGTGGCTTTCTAGCAGAGCCAAGACTACATTCAGAGCCATGCTTGGGTTGATAACCAGTAAGGTTTTTAATCTTTTCTATCTGTAGTTCATAATCTAACTGTAATCTAATCTTAAACTGTAGATTATGGCTCCTATGAGTATTGTAAAGGTGTACAATGTGTCAAAAATGTTAGGAGCAAGATTCATTAGGCAGGGAAGCTGTGCATGCTTGCCATCAGCAATGATAGCCTGTTACTCCTTCCTGGCTCTGGCAGACCGGGCTGCTGCTGATCTGGCAGTTACACAAAAGCAAGTAAAAAATTACATTTTGAGAAAACTTGAGGAATAATAATCTTGGTTTAGATCTCTTGGTGTACTTAAGCAATTTATTTTAACACGAGGATACTTTGATAGTGTCCAGTTATTTGTCATAAATACTTTGATAGTGTTTATGGATTCATAGGGCAAAGCTTAGAAAGCACGTTGGCCTATCTTGACACACTGATGCTTAACTGTACATTAACAAGGAAATGTTGATTCAAATCATTAAATAAATAGGCAATATAATGCTATAGGGGTTAAATGACTTCTTCCATCCTCATGACAGACATTTGATCATGTATTAGACATAGAAACGTAGACTTGAGATTGGAAGGGACCTCTGGTCTAGTCCTACTGCCCAACTCGAAGTGGAGTCAATTAGTGCAGGCTGCTCAGGGACTTTTCCAGGTGAGTTTAGACTAGCTCCAAGGATGGAGATGCCACAACCTCTCAGGTGAACCTGGGCCAGAGTTTGACCAGCCTCACAGTATTTAAACAAACAAACAAAAAAACCCAAAACCCCTGTACATTTAGGTAGAATTTCTTGCATTTCCGTTTGTGCCCATTGCCTCCTGTCTTTTCACAGGGCACCACTGAGAAGTGTCTGGCTCAGTCATCTTTGCTCCCTCCCCTGAGTCTTCTCTTCTCAAGGCTAAACAATCGCACCTCTCTCAGCCTCTTCCTTGTATGACAGATGCTGCAATCCCTTATCATTTTCATGGTGTTTTGCTGGACTAGCTCCACTATGACCTTGATGTTTTTTTATTGTTAATGTGCTGCTTTATGTATGTACATCCTCAACTGTATGGTCAAATTACCAGGATACCAAAGCTTTCTGAAAACAAGTGCTGTTTTCTTTTCTTTTGCAAATTGAAATGGTTACACTGTTAGATATAACCAACTATGGGCACAGGTAATAGTTTGTGTTAACTTGCATATTTCAAGTAGCCTTATTTAAATGACCTGGCCCTATTTAGAAGTCAGGGAATGCAATTGGAATCTTTGTCCACACGTCGCTGCTTATGCACTTGTTGTTTAACAGTGACTGTCCAGTGTAAAATAAGTAATTTCTGGAGGAGGAAAAGAGACCAAGTTTCACCTGTCAGAGGTGAATGCCCTAATTACTAGACTACAGGGCCACGTATTCTTTTTCTAGCCCTGTGTGGGGGTTTTGGTCATTCTCCCAGAAAAGGGAGCATGTACAGAAGTAGGTTATTGGGAATCGTAAACAGGAAGGTATTTCCTGATTACGTGCTTCTGGTGTTGAGTAGTGGGAGAAGTGGATTTTAGTTTGGGGTGGTTTTTTTCCCCCCTCTCTCTCTCCAGTCCCTTTACTGGGTCTTGCTCAAAATACTGAACTTGGTAACAGGGAGGGGTGATAATATAGTGATTTGTAGGCTATATGGACTTTTTTGGGAAGTTGTAGGCTAGGGGATTGCTTTGGGAAAAACTATTTTTAAAAAAAACAAATTCTTGCACTTTGTGACCCGATTAGAATTTTCTCATGCTAATTTAAAGATGATAATAAAGCATTGCATACAAAGCGATGAATCAGTCTGTCATTTCATAGTGCTTTCATAAGGACGAGGCAGCTCAGTGGGTGTAGAACCTGGTATCAAACAGTAAGGAAGTGCTTCAAGGGGACAGTCGGAGTTTATAGCTGCCAGGTACTTTCCTTCAGTTCATGGGGCAAGAAGTCAAGATTGGTCTACTTCTGCAAAGGAAAGGAAGAGCTCTTGAGGGCCCTGTTTTATTCACTTACCCTGACAGGAGGATCTACTAATTTTTAATCTTCTGTTGGAAGAAACACTATGTTTTACACTTAAGTATAAAGGCCTGGTGAACAGAACAAGTTTGATGAACTACAGATTACTGGTTTTTCATTGTTACACTTTCAGTTACATTCCAAAATTAGGAAAACTTTATTGGAATGTAGAAAGTTCTGTCACTTATTTTTAATGATATTTGACACAGAATCATCTGGTAGGGAAACTTGGACCTCTTGCTCATTTCTGTTTGTAATTTCTAGCATAGAGCTATCAAATTAATTGCCAGTATGAATTTGTATTTGAAGTATAAAACTTCCAGAGGGAAGAGTTTAGTCTACAGGTACTTTCCAGCGCAGTCTTACCAAAGAAGAAGTGATGCCACCTTCAAAGTAAGGAGGCTTACTTCTATTCATAGAGCATTCATGTTTGCTCCTACCGAGGAAAAGGTTCATTGTTGCTTTTATGGGAACAACATGCATATTTCCTTATTTTAAGTCCTAACTAAAGCATGCTGATAATTTTGTGAAGCAGTTATTTAAAAAACTAGAGGTCAGACACAAGGGCCGCTACATGTTCCTATCAAAATAAGAGTGTACTAGACTTACTCATGTCCTGTGTTGTCTTACACAGAGTAATACAACAGCTGTATCCAAGAATTTGTAGGTGGTGTTCTCATGCATTAGTACCCCAGCTGCCTCCTGTGTGGCTCATGTAGCTATTAACAGGAGGAGGGTACCTCTTCCATTCCTTTCAGCAGGTCACACTGGAGGAAAGCCATCATGAGCTGGCAGCCCGAAGTAAAAAAGATCATATTCAAGAAGAAAGATCATCTCAGAAAACTATTAAATTGGGGCAGCTCATCATCAAGATCTCCCATTCTCTGGAGTGTGGGCTTCTCTTCTATACTGCCCTTATGCTGAGACCTCCAGGTAGCAAGAGGAGCAGCTCATGAGAATCTGGAATTGATCAGAAAAACGTGGCTCTAACTCCATGTGCTTATCTGAAGTAGAAAAGAAATGGAATCCATAAATGAGGCTACCTCTGTATCTTAATGCTATCGGTGAGCCCAGGGGCTGATGGTATACACCTTTGTTTCCCCTGTTCACAGTTCTGACCATTCAAATACATCAATTACCTTTGGGTCACAGATCGTCATAAAGAAGTTTTTTTCAGAAGGTAATAGTATTTAGTTGTGCTTCAGAGTGCCCGTCTCTGCGCCTTGTCAAGGATCACTGGAGGGGCATGACGTCCAGTGAAGCCTCTGCTTGATCCCTGCCATCAACTGCCTCAGTCGCTCAGTGCGCTTTGTTCCGAGCTAGGGAAGTGTACTGCATTAAGTATACTTACTGGTTTTACGTAGGGGCAGACAGGAGAGGGAATATGAGACTCCAGCTGAGAATAGGATGCTCCTCTGCAAATCTGAGACCACCGAATATCACCAGTCCTACTAAAAGGGCAATTCTCCTGTGGCCATGAGCTGCATCAGGTCGAGATCGGTGTCAGCACCTGTGTGTCCATTATCCACCCTGTGTGAGTGCCTGCCTCTGTCCTGGCAACCAAGCACGCCGGGAGAGCAAGCCCTCCTAGCGCAGCGCTCCGAGGCTTCTGTCTAGCTATTAGCCCGTACTGTTGCTCTTTCCCCTGCTGCATGCAGCACTGCACAGGCTGATGGCATAGTATGAGCTGCTGATGTCACCTTTGCTCTGTAAACAGAAATAACAAGTACAGGTTGGGGTGTTTATCTAGAATGCATGGACAGGACACAGATGGGATTACCCAGGACACGGCTGCAAGCTTCGTTCACCTCAGACAGCTTCTGATGTCACCTTTTCAGAAAGGTGAGGGGAGCAGCAAGAAACTTATTTGCTCAGCCATTGTTTAAAACAAAAACCAAAAAACCCCACAACCTACTAACCCAAAACCTCTTTTTAAGAAGGAATTCTTTTCTCTTTTCTGAAAGCCTAAGTACACTTTCAATAGCAGTGCTCACATTTCAAATATATTCCCCTCATGGCTGGTCCCTAAAATAATCAAAAATAAAACTCATGTATTCCTTTTCAGGATAGGCAATCTCAGATAGACCTTTTGAGAGGTGTTTAATGTCCACTCAATTGCATGCACTAGTTAGAATAATATTCATTTTGGGGAAGAAAAAAAAAAAATTCTTGATTTCTTTTCGCTATGTATTAGTGTCACACCAGTACAACCATTCAATGTTTTTATTGCCTCATGCATTGATGTTTTCTGCAATAAGAATACAATGAAGCTATCAGTAAACAACAAGAACATAATGAAATGACAACATATTATTTCATAGTATGAGGCTTGTAAAACTTTATTTTTAAACTCTGAAAATTATTTTTTCCCAACCCACTTAAATACAGGAAAGCTAAAACACAATCCTAACTGACAGAAAACAGGTTGTAGTTCAAACAGTTCCATTCTGAGTAGAACAATGGAATATCAGTGTATCCAGCTATGGTACCTATATATCAAATTTCTCTTCACAGATATTGTGTCCATGTTCTTCATAATCTTCTCTAGTTACTACCATGTCTTCAAAATCATCATTTTCAGAAATGAGTTTCCCACCTTCCCAAGAATAAGTAATAGGGCTGAAAAATGAACAAAGTTATTGTTACTCATCTGTAAATTCATTTAAAATAAAAGTATGCAATGATGATTTCCAAGATTTTTATTTAGCCATACCCATTTAAAAATACTGGTTTTGATTGCTAAATCAAACCATCCAGCTCCAGACAAGTTATGAAACAAAGTTTGAAACTTTAGCAGGGCTAACTGACTTTGCTTTTTATAAAAAGCAAGTGCCTCTTTGGAGGCAGGTGTGAAGAAGGCAGGAAGTGGAGATGTCTTCGTATTTACTTTGCACAGATAATGATTCTTTAATAATATTTAAAATACTCTTTAATAATACTTAAAAAAAAGTGATTTTTTTTTTGTACTTTCAAGATATACTTGTTTTGTCCCAACTGTACACTCTCTCTGCAAAGATGTTACCCCTTCCAAATCCCTGAAGTGGCTACATTAATAAGGACATGGCAGCATTCAGATGCAGAAATTCTTCTAAGTAAAAAGACTAAAGTCTAATCTTGCACACTTATGTATCCACTTAATGACGATACAGTCTTATTTATCTGTTTACAATAAAAAGACTGATCCTGAAAACACTTACTTACATGCTTAACTTTATTAGCCGAAGTACAGGGCAGGCAGGTAGTGTCTAACTTATTTGGTTTGTCTGAAAATACACTGATCTAAAACATTCTTCTTGTACAATTTTGCTTCACAATATTTAAATTAACCCCTTTACTCAATCTATCTTTTTAGTCAGCAAAAGAAATCCTACTTTATTGTTTGTTCTGCTAGAAGGACAAAGCTTGTTCTGTACAGTTTAGAACTTACTTTTCAGGAAGAACAACAGAAACATCATAATCAGTTGGAGTAAGACATCGAACTTCAGAATAAACCCGATCTCTGAAGCCTGGAAAAAGGGTGTTTCCCCCAGTCAGAACTATGTTCTTGAAGAAATGAGGCTGCATTTCTGTAAAATAAGTAAACCTATAGTTAGAGACTGAACATATATTTCAAGATTATAAAGTTTTTTTTCCCAATTTTGTTATGAATTGGAACAGAAGTAAGAAAAAAAAATACATATAGAAGAATTTTATGATCATCTAATGATCACATCAGTTAAATAGTTTTATTGAGAAATACAAGAAAGTGATCCATCACCCTCTGTTCTTCGTGATTTTTAGAATTTGGCTTTAGTAACTACTGTTTTCTTATATTGTCTATTAAATGTCATGTCTGCCAAAATATTCCCCTTTCAAAAGGGATTTTAAATGATACAATTTTTTTAAGAGTACAAAATAATAGCCTCAATGCTGCCATATTTATGTGGTATCATAAAACCTATGAAAGTCATCTTTGTAGTAATAACATGAATGATGTGCCTTATCTATAAAATGAAAGCTTTAGTACTACTTCTGACAAACACAGCAGTCAGAAAGGTTTTATACTTTGATGCTTAAATTACTGGGTTTGGTCAGTTTCATTTTTCTCATCAGTTTGATTTTTCTCTTCTTCCAGTGAAGAAAGATACTTTAAACACAACTAAAACTAATCGCAAGTATATTCCACCATGGGCATCAAAGACAGACAGGTCACGTTAGAAAAGGATGTTAAGAAGAATTATGTCTACAGTCATTAATTGAAACAAGGGTAGAAACCAATCAATAAATCACCACAAAACTGTGTTTGCCTAACAGAGAATCTTGTAGACAATCAATTCTAGAGTATATGACACACACCAGAAGAGAGAACAGTTCACAACAACTTAGTAACTGGCATATTGAGAGTACTAGCTTCTTAAGACACTTTGGGTGCTTGAAACAAAAAAACCCATAACAAAACAACACAACCCCACCACCACCACCACTTTTCAAAATGCTTTTTAGGTTATACCTTCAGGTAAATTCTGAATAGAATAAACAATGGCTTCAGGAATTCCCATCTCTTGAATACCGATATCTGAAGGATGGAAGAGTATTTCTGGAACTGCAAATCTTTCATTTGTTAGACGAAGTATTTGTTCACCAGTCTTGTATTTTCCACTTACCACCATCTCTTCCCTTGGCTAAATTAAAGACATGAATAGCACCCACTGCTTAAGAAAAGAAATGACAACCTAGAGTATTCAGCTAATCTTTTTCATGTACTGCAGAGGTAGGCAGTATATTCTACGTTAAGTCCTATTACCAACAAATCTTTTAAGAATAATACATACTCTGATATTAAATGTGAAGTGACTTTGCTCTTATCAACTGCCGTTTCGCCTGAAGCAAAATAAATAGGTATGCACAAGAGTGGCCTTAAAATACTGGGACTGCTTTCAAAACTATGTCCAACTCATTAAATGAGATAAAATTGTTAAATTGTCTTCATTGGTATGAAGGCTTTTCAGGCTTTTCTATAACATGACTTTGAACCTCCTACCTATTACAGTAAAAGAAGTTGAGAGAGACTTACAAAAAAGTATCAAAGCAGAGAAAACCTTTTCCAACTTAACTTTAAAAAAACCAAACAACAATGTTATGGATAGGTTGTATGACAGAGCACAAGCATAGAAAGCTACAAATATTAAATAACAGAACATAAAATGCTATGCTGGAAAAACGGTATTTATTTTTCATCTCAGCTTCCTAAGGAAAACTTTACCAACAAATGCATAGCACAGAAAGAACTTACAATACAGCATTAGAAAAAAGAAAGTCTTTTTCACCTCTCTACTAGACTTGTGCAGGGGAGCAGTCTAAAAAATACTTCAAAAACCATATGATCATTACCTTACAAAATCCTTTCTTGATTGTGCTGAAGTCTGGCAAAACATAATCTACCATTACAGTATTTTCCTCTCCTTTCAATCTGAAAGAGCAGAATGTAAAATACAACAGAATAAAGAACAAGCTCTAAATCCCAACTATTTTATACTGACAAGACTTCCTTTGACTTAACTGGAAAATTTTCTGATTAAGAGTGTAGTTTTATTTGTTTGTACAAATAGATTATTCAGATGTACCAACTTTTACATTTAGTACCATTGTATACGTACTTGGCAATGTCCATGTCCTTGTAAAAGTCTTGAGAAACATAACACACATCTTCTTTCACTTGATTAATTACATGTGTTTCATCCATAACATGGAGCTGCCTGTGAAAAACAAAAAAGAAAAACACAGAAGTTTGAGAATAATTAAACCTTAGCGTTACTTGTCCAGTTTTCCACTGGAGATAAGCAACCATACTTTTCAAATCACAGGAAGCTACTGTCCCAATACCTAAAACTTGTATTCAATTTACAAAAGCATTCCTGGCCTACTGGAGCTTAGTGTTTTCCTATTTCACAGTTCAATAAATACAAATATCTACCCATATTTGCCCAATAACATCATAACAAGTATAGCCATAATCCTGCAGTTAGCTCTGCTAGCAAAGACCTTTACCTAGATAAAGTTCCAAGCTAAAAGATCCTAATGAAAAGTTGATCCTGTTGAATTTTATTTGTGGTATTGATAGAATCAGTTAGCAAACTGACTGATGATCTTCTGAGACATCTCAGAAAATATGTAAGGACTTCTATAATTGTGAACACACAGGTAACCTCAGCAACTTCGAAACCGCTGACACTTTAAAAACTAACAGCCTAATTCTTCAAAGAGCTTAAGCTCATCTGAATTCATCTTGAGCTTAAGCTCAAGATGGCAGCTAGCAGATCATGAGAGACAAAAATTCCCTTCTCCTTTAAACAGCATTTACTCTCAAATTCACAGAACCAGTAAGAATATCTCCACAAACTTCTGGCTCATTTCATACCAAGTCTCAAAATGATTATCAGCATGCTTTACCTGTAAGAGATTATCTCCTTCAGATGGTTGGTTAAGAGTTTTCCTCCAACATTAATCCTACAGAAAAGGAGTAACACAAGGAATTCTGTCATTATTAACTTCAGGCACAGCAAACAATTCTTCTAGAAAATATATACTGCAGTTTACCTGATGATTGCCTCTTTCTTCTTTTTACTTCTACAATAAGGTACAATGTGTGTAAAAGAGTATCCACTATCCACAATGATACAACATAGCTCAGATGGATTATCCCGGAAATACCTGTGTGCACTAAGAGCTCCAGCTAAAATACAGAAAATTTCATTCAATTTTTATATGAATATATGCTTTTAAGAGCGATATGAAAATGTACTTGCTTCATATTTTAAATGCCTTTGGCAAACTTCCAAGACCTCAATACTACAGCCAACACACGAATTAATTTTGACAGTGGATAAAATTAAGTATCGTATATGCCCCCATTTATTCTTTTTCAGTAATTCCAGTCCATGTTCAGATTCCTCTCCTAAAGTCCAAGCAGACTGATCACACCACAATTTATCAAACTTATGTAAAGGAGTATGCTATGTCCAGCTATCTTTCAGAAGGGTTGTGATGTTATTTATACATTCCCTATAAGAAACAATAGATTTCATGATTGCAATGCTGCATTTTATTTGCCAATACAAAACAAAACCAAACAGAAAAACACCTTAACACCCCCCCCCCCCAAAAAAAGGAAAGCTATCAAAGACTTCATGCAAATTTTTGGTAGACTTTCTCAAATGCTATCCTGTTTCAAAAACCATCCGTTATCTCTGTCATCCTGACTCTCCTCAAATTTCCTTTAACTAGGTCCCATGACACTCTTAAGAAAGTAGTTTAAGAGTATAGCTGGAATTTCTAAAAAAATGTTTAATCCAGTTAGAGTACATATAGAAGCGTATTACTCAAGAGCCAGGAAGGAAATGAAGTAATTTCTTTACTATCTTTATATATACATGTGCATGCGTATGCATGCATGTGTGCTTATTTATTTATTTACAAGGTTAACCTTCAGAATATGTACATGCAAACTAGAAGGAGACAGACTCACCATTTACTCTAAGAACTGCTTGAAATTGGTATTCTTCAAATAGAATTTCATTCATGGATTCTTGTATTGAACTGAAGTTAAAATAAGGTTCAGTAATAATAATGTTGGTATCTACAAAATCCACCTATGAAAAATACAATAAGATTTAAAGACTTCATGAGCAGTGATACAAGTTTATCAAATTAATGAGTAAAAACATAGTAGAAGGGAACACCTTCATACACATTCTGCTCCTGTTACCATCCTTACAAATCATAATCCAACATTTTAAAGAGATACTCATAAAGGAACACTATGATACTAATGTAAGATACTTTACGCTAATCCTGTCAGCTACAGAAAGCTAAGTCTCTGCAACAGCTCTGCACCCACATCACAAAATTACTTATCTAATAACCAAAGATGAAGTCCCACACAAAGTAGAATCAACAATAAAACTCCCAGTGACCTCTAATGAAGCCAGCAAGAGGTCCTGGACTTTCCACATTTACTCATCTCTCAAACTCCTTTAGAGAGGACTTCAGAGGGTTACTTCATTCATAACTGGATATGGCCCTAAATGTATTACCAGCTGTAGGCTTCACTCATGAAAAAGAATTAAAACAAAGTTCTCCTCGAACCCATGACTAAATTGAATCTAGTTCCAAAACTAAAATGAAAGTATCAAAAGCCAGCACTGTGTATTTTCATGTATGGGTATTTTGAGGCATTACTTTCATTCTCACTACCATTCTGCCTCCAGGGTGTTACAAAAACCAAAAACTTTCAGAGTACATAACCTTTTTTTTTAAAGAAAAAATAAAAGGGAAGCCCTACTATACTTCTTGTGCTAAATCCAGTTCATGTGATAAATAAGAAAAATTAAGCATCAGATATTTATATTTTATACATGCAACTTACTCATAGGTAGAAAATGGTTAGCCAAAGACGGTTACCTAATGTATGTCTTTTGGCCTACTGACCTAGCTCATCACTCTCTTCTACATCAACAGTTTCTTGATCTCTAAACCACATTGTATCTCCATCTACAACTACTATTATTTTCTACTACTTTTCTACTAATTTGAACTCTTAATTATATTGATGTGAATTTCTTAACATACGTGAACTGAACTCAGTATGAATACACACACGACTAAAAAATTTAAGTGTTTTTTAAATTCCTATGCCAGAGCTCAAAGTATTTTCTTCAATTTGCAAAAAAATAAATCCTTGTGATTTCTAATTGAAGGCACTTTCAAAGAGAAGAGTAAGCTCACCAGTTCTATTTAATATTTCATGTCCTTATGTTAATTCCATTAGTCAGTATTTAACCTACACAAAAACTGTAATTAAAAAAAGGCTCTTACTTGATACATTTCTTTTCCAAAAAGATAATCCCAAACCTGTCTCTGGACATCCCAGTTCACCAAGTAACCCTGTAGGAATTTAAAAAAAAAAAAAATTGCACTATTTAGAAAAGAAAATCATACCTAAAAAAAAAAATTACTAGAAATCAAAAAATGTCAATCAATTGATAGACGGGCAAGATAAAGAAATTTGAGAGAAAAAAATGTCTAAATTCACATTTCTATGCTAAGGAGTTAGCTATGCTAATGTTACATAGGATAAAGAATGTTACAAATATTCCCCATCAGTACATTAATTACTACACAACAAAACCAAAATAAATTGTGTTTCCTATATACATTATTCTCTTTAACAGAAGCCTGTCAGTCTGACCTCAGTGCTGGGGAAGCTTATGGAGCTGATAATCTTGAGTGCCATCAAGCAGCACATATGGGACAACCAGGCGATCAAGCCCAGTCAGCATGGGTTTATGAAAGCCTGACTAATCTGACCTCTTTCTACAACAAGGTGACCCACTTAGTGGATGAGGGAAAGGCTGTGAATGTTGTTTACCCGGACTTCAGTAAAGGCTTTGACACCATTTCCCAGAGCATTCTCCTGGAGAAATGGCAGCTCATGGCTTGGACAGGCATACTCTTCACTGTGTAAAAAACTGGCTGGATGGCCAGGCCCAAAGAGTTGTGGTGAATGGAGTTAAATCCAGTTGGTGGCTGGTCACGAGTGGTGTTCCCCAGGGCTCAGGATTGGGGCCAGTTCTGCTTAATATCCTTATCAACGATCTGGAGGAGGGGATCGAGTGCACCCTCAGTAAGTTTGCAGATGACACCAAATTGGGTGGGAGTGTCGATCTGCTGGAGGGTAGGGTGGCCCTGCAGAGGGATCTGGACAGGCTGGATCGATGGGCCGAGGCCAACCATAGGAGGCTCAACAAGGCCAAGTTCTGGGTCCTGCACTTGGGTCACAACAACCCCACACAACGCTACAGGCTGAGGGAAGAGTGGCTGGGAAGCTGCCGGGCAGAAAAGGACCTGGGGGTGTTGGTCGACAGGTGGCTGAATGCGAGCCAGCAGTGTGCCCAGGTGGCCAAGAGCATCCTGGCGCGTATCAGAAACAGTGTGGCCAGCAGGAGCAGGGAAGTGATTGTCCCTTTGCACTTGGCACAGGTGAGGCATCACCTCGACTACTGTGTTTGGTTTTGGGCCCCTCACTACAAGAAAGACACTGAGGTGCTGGAGTGCATCCAAAGAGGAGCACCGAAGCTGGTGAAGGGTCTAGAGCACAAGTCCTGTGAAGAGCGGCCGAGGGAACTAGGGGTGTTTAGTTTGGAGAAAAGGAGGCTGAGGGGAGACCTTATCGCTCTCTACAACCACCTGAAAGGAGGTTGGAGCAAGGTGGGTGTTGGTCTCTCTTTCCAAGTAGCAAGCGATAGGACGAGAGGAAACAGCCTCAAGGTGCGCCAGGGGAGGTTCAGATTGGATATTAGCAAAAATTGCTTCACCAAAAGGGTTCTGAAGCACTGGAACAAGCTGCCCAGCGAAATGGTTGAGTCACCATCCCTGGGGGTATTTAAAAGACATGTAGATGTGGCGCTTAGGGACACAGTTTAGGGGTGGACTTGGCTGTGTTAGGTTGGACTTGATGATCTGAAGGGTCTTTTCCAACCTAAATGATTCTATGATTGTTAAACTCCACACTGCTGAATTTGATTCTTGTACAATACTACATATAACCCTGCAGTTGGGGCATATTGTATAAAAACTGCCTTAAAACATTTACATTTGGCTATAATGTTAAACTCAGGATATCTTACTTACTTTCTGAAAAGGGAGAATATAAAAAAGACCAGAGGGATCTTTAATTTCATCCAGTTGATTTGCCGTAAAGGTTTTCAAGCGTGCAGTCTTCGATCTGAACTGACAGTTGGGAATAACGCTGGAAAAGAGTGGGAAGTTTCCTATTCATCACGGTATGAGACACATTCATTGACTTTACACTAATTTCACGAAGAGTGTACTTTCAATAATGCTTTTGCTGCTGTGTTTGGGGTTTAACCCATTTACTGGGGCCAGTTACGAGGGAAACCTCTGATTTTATGACACCTCCGGTGCAGACGAAGCACGTTTTGGAAAAACTAAACCACCCCCCGCCCCGGGCAGCGCACCGAG